TCCTGAGTGCTGGGATTAAAGGCATGCGCAGCCACCATCCAGCCTACTTCCTGAGTCTTAAAGGGTCGCCCTTTAGAACTTTCTGAGTCTTGGTGAGCTCTCCCTGCAGGGTGATAAGCTCCAGTTTATATAACAGTTTATATAACGATCCCGTCCTCCCCCTTTTCCTTTATTCCTCCCCTTTCTTAGCTCTGACAATTGAGTTTCGAGGCTTCATAGAGCAGGAACTTGATCTAGTCTTAGAAGACATTTAAGTTACAAGGAGTCCTGATGATTAGAAGCCTCACCAAGCCTTTCCTTGCTTAGACCTTTCAAATGTCACTGTACAATTGCTACTATAACAGCCCAGGCAATTAATTCAGCTCAATTAATAAATGACTTTCTATGTAATAAGTCAGCAGGCAACCATCATTTAATCTCCATATCTCCCACTCCCACAATGCTTCCCTGCTTCCCCTCCGCTCCTTCCACTTGCTCTTTTCCCAACTTCAGAGAACTCCCTTGCCTGTTGAACTTCAGGTTGACACTGAGTATTGCCTTGCGTCTGCTTGCTTTCCCTGAGCATCAGGGTTAGTCTGGCTGTTGTCCTGGTTCCCTAGGGCTCCCGTAACAGAGCCTCTGAAGTCTACATGTTCAAGGTCAAGGTGCTGGCAGGGTTGAGCTCTTCTGAGGGTCTCTCTCCCTAGCAATACTACCTTCTCTCAGTATCTTCACACGGCCTTTTCTCTGTGTGTATTTGTGTCCTAGCTGCTTCTTTTTCATACGGCAGAGCCTACCTCAATAACCTCATTTAACCTTTATTAATTATTTCTTTAAAGTCTCCAAAGCCAGGGACATTTTGAGGTATTGAGATAGGACTTCAACACATGATTTGGGAGGGGACATATTTCAGCCCATGATAGCTACTAAGAATAAAGTTGTAGCAAACACTTTAAAGTATAGTTGGTATATACACATGAGATTGATGATTAATTTTTTTTTTTGGACAGACTTTTACTCATAGTCTCAAACTCATATATAGTCATGGATGACCTTGAACTTCTGATCCTCCTGCCTCCTCCTGAGGTCTGGGATTATAGGTGTCTGCTGCCACAGTCAGTTTCCTGTGATGCTAGGGATCAAAACCCAAAGCTTGTTATATACTAGAGAATCACTATAATAACTGAGCTATGGTCCCAGACCTGATGGTCAATCTTGAATAGCAATTTGATTGACTTGAGAAACACCCAGAAAGTTTAGTGTTCTAGTTTCATTTCTGTTGCTGCAATAAATTGCCAGAAAGCAATACAGATGAGGAAAGGGATTATCTGGTTTATGGTCGTTTGAATGTAATCGAGCCCCATAAATTCATCGGAATGGCACTATTAGGAGGCGTGACTTTGGTGGAGTGGGTATGGCCGTGCTGGAGAAAGCGTGTCACTGTGGGAGTGGGCTTTAAGGTTTTCTAGGCTCAGGATACCACCCACTGTCTGAGTTGACTTCTTAATGCCTTCAGGACATAGGCCTCTCAGTTGCTACTCCAGCACCAGGTCTGCCTGCATGCCGCCAAGCTCCCTGTCATGACGACAATGGACTGAACCTCTGAAACTGTAAGTGAGCCACCCTCAATTAAATGTTTTCTTTATAAGAGTTGTCATGGTCACGGCGTCTCTTCATAGCAACAGAAACCCTAATAGCTTAAATTCCAGGTTACAGTCCATCACTGAGGGAAGTCAGGACAGAAACCCTGAAGTTAATCCTGGTTGCTATTCCACATCGCGTTACCTCTGATGCAGGAAATAAACTCCTTCCTCTCCAAGTTGCTTCAGGTCACAGTGTTTACCACAGTGCTAGGAACCCTAACTAAGACAAGGACCATCTGCCTAAGGAATGGTGTCTTCAGTGGGCTGGGCCCTCCTATGCTAATTAACAGTGAAGACAGTGTCCCACAGATGTGCCCAGAGGCAGAGGGAATCTAGGGAACTCAATAAAGCTACTTAATTGTAGCTTTTGATAAGTTGATAGCGAGAGCTAACTGGGTAATGAGTGCCCTCTTGTAGGCACATCTGTGAGGATTCTTCTAGAGATGGATAAGTAAAGGGGTCTGAGAGAGACCCACCTCGAGTGCAGGCTTCACAGTCCCATATACCGAGCACCCAGATTGAATAGGGGGAAAGGAAGCAAGCCAGGTGGCGTGGGCATCTCTGGTTCTGCTTCCTGCTTCTCCGTCCCTGTCCCCGTGTCCCCCCCACCCCCACCCCCCCGCCACCAGAAACACCACACCAACACAAGCAATCCCATCCTCAAGACGCCCCTCCTGTGGGGCATTTGTCACAAGGACACAACACTAACACTGGGAGGGGTTAGTTTTTTCTCACAAGCTTCATTTTGCTGATGGGAAATAGACTCACTGAGAAGAGCTGCAAGGCTCACCTTCTCAGATGTGGGTCGTGAGTTTGAAGCTGCCGAGTATGTTGAGGAAGCCGTGTTCCCCACCTGTTGTAGAAATTTCTGAAGTTCCTCCAGGTGACTTCATAGGGCTATTCACCCAGGCAACACAGGAAACACCCATGGCTCAGCCCGTCTCAGGCTCTGGAAGTGGGATGGTAAACAGGAAGGGAAATTTATATTCCTGGTGGAGCAACACACAACAAATACAACTAAATACAGCTGTCCCTCAGTATCCTCAGGGATTGCTTCCTAGAACATCCCCAGGGTCCTCACAGACAATGAACCACAGGGTTGTTAAAGTGTCGTGTGCAAATCAGCTTCGTATTCGCACATAACCTGACCTGTGAGGACCTCTCATCCACTTCACACAGCCTCCACATCACTTATGATACCTAACGCAATGTAAATGCTATGGAAATAGATGCTTCACTAGGAGGGAACAATAACAAGAAATAACTGATCCTACGAGGGGCCAGTATCGTTGAAGGTCTTTGTACAGACGGTTCTAAAACCACACTCGGTTGAATTTATAGATGTAAACCCGTGGCTAGAGACAGAATGAAAAGGCAGACTGTGGTCAGTGAAGGCCAAACAGGGACAGAGAGCGAGGGAATTAGGGGCTCAGGGATGGGAGGATGAAATTGCCTTTTACGGTTTCCTGTAAATGGGGACACAGGAGAGCTCCTGGAGGATTAGACTGTGCCAGTCAAACAAAGGCCTGGAATGAACAGGAAGTAGGAACTGCTCAGGGGCTGGGTCCCAGGAATGAGTGACTGACAGAAGCGGAACCGGCCAGAGAGAGATGAGGATCTGGATGAGGTCCAGAGGGCAGACACAGGACTGCAGGTCCTCAAGAGGTTTGTTACTCTAAGGCAGTGATTCCCAACAGGAGGGTAGAGGCCATTTGTGGGGAGGTCAGATGACCCTTTCACAGGGGTGGCTTATTAGGTATCCTGAATTTCAGATATTTATGTTACTATTCATAACACTAGCAAAGTTACCACTATGAAGTAGCAACTAAAATAATTTTATGGTTGGGGGTCACCACAGCATGAGGAACTGTATTAAAGGGGCACAGCATTAAGAAGGTTGGGAAACACTGTTCTAAGGGCAACAGGAAACCATTGAATGGGTTTAGAGAAATGACTCACAAGACCCAAGTGACATTACCACATGGGTCATTAGGAATAGCAGGGACATACCAGAGACTGCTGCTACCCTTGCCTGGGTGGAACACACCAGTGACAGCAGGGGGTGGCAAAATGCCTATATTTTGGAGGTAGAATAGACAGGACACGGCAAGGAATTAGATGGGTCTCTTGGGAAGGGGCAAGGCAAGGGTGACTTCTAGATGTGGCCTTGAACCTCTAGATAGCAGGCAAGGTTTATTCAGAGACCATCGCCCAAGTCCTGACTGTGCACTTCCACTGTCCATCTGCATCCTCAGACAGAGTAGGTGTCCAGCAAACATTCCTAATGAACAGCTGGCTGATGACATGCGTGGCAAAGTGGACTTAAAAGAGGACTTTTTTTTTTACATTAAAAATTTATCTTATGCGTATGAGTGTTTTGCCTACATCTGTCTATGGGTACTGCGTGCATGCCTAGTGTCCTTGGAGGTCAGAAGAGGGCATCACAGCAGCTGGAGTTCAGGATACAGATGCTCGTGAGTTGCCGTGCAGATGCTGGGAACCAAACCCTAGTCTCTAAGAGCAGAAAGAGGTCTTAACCACGGAGCCATCTCGCCAGCTCCCATTTTACAGTTTTTTCAGGTAACTGACATTCACTGGCCATTTTAAAGCACACAGCTTGGTGAACAGCTTCCCCCTCTATATTCCCCGAATCCATTAAATAGTCTCTTCCTATTTCTCCTTTTCCCGAGCCCAACCAATAATCTGCTCACACTCTGGAGCTTTGACAGACTTTGGATATTTCATATGAATGAAACCATACAGTATGTATCTTTTTAAAACTCAGCACCATATTTTGGTATTTGTTCAAATGACAACACTTCTTTTTATTGGCTGAATAGTATTCCTTTGTGCAGGCAGATATCACATTTTCTCCATTGAGGTTATTTGGGTTGTTCCTATCTTTTGGCTAATGTAAACAGCATTGTTAGGAGCAGTGGTGTGTGCAAGTACTGGTTGAGTACCCTTTTCAATTCTTTTGAGTTTATGACTAAGGAGTAAGTGAATCATACGGCAATCTATGCTTAACTTTTTAGGGATCTCTAAATTGTTTCCAGACCTCTCAATAAAATTTTGCCAAGGGAAAAAAAGAGGAAAGTCGGAGCCTGGGAAGTAGAGGGTTTACCTTATTCTCCACAGGCCACGCTAGACTTTACAATTAGTTATCTACAGTCAAATGACTGGAATTCTCTGAGTTGTCTCCTAATCCTTAGAGTGTGTAAACTAATTTCTGTGGGCAGAGTGACTTGTTGGTTCTGAAGGTCCGGGCACAGAGCAAGGTCCCCAAGTGAACCACTACCCCTACTCCTCACCCTCCCCACCCCTGATCCCCGCAGCTGCTGCTCCGTGTCCCCAGAGCAAAGTCCATCTCAAAGGAGTCCCGTTCGGTGGTTCATGAACTACAACTCCCGGCAGGCACCTCTCCGGGCCGCCTCTCCCAGCCTAGTGCGCAGGCTTTGGCAGACGTGGCACCGGGAACTCGGAGGCGGGGAGCGGCTGCGAAGTGGCGATTGCTGTTGGCCGCCGTGGAGCTGGCGGGCGTGCGCGGGAGCCGGGCGCAGACGGCAGGAGGCGGCGGGGATGGCGCGGGCGTGGGGGCTGCTACTGGCGATTGGGGTGAGGCTGCGGGTCGGCGACATGTGCGCTCAGCGTGGCCGTGGGCGCGCGCGGTCCGGGGCGGTTGGGGGCGTGCGCACCGGGGGGGCAGCGGGGTCCTGGTCCTCTGCGCCCCGCCCGGGTCGGGCTGGGTGATCCCTTGCTCGGGGTTCGTGGTCCTGCATAACTTTGCGGGGGCGCAGGTCCGGGACGCCCTCAGCCAAGGCAGGATACCCCGGGCGGCGCCTGCACTTGTGTGAGTGCGGGGTGGAGGATGCTTTTTACCTGTGCAGCAGGTAACCTTGCTCGTGGGTTGGACCCAGGGAGAAAGGGCGCGTAGCGGGCTGGGGTGGGGTCGCCACCTCCAGGAGTTCTGCTCCCATACCCATGTGACGCCGGCTCCAGCTCCGGCCACTTTCGAGCAGTCTGACGCCGCGGATCTTTAAACGTGTCTGCGTTTCTTCCACGAGCTGGGGACAGTAAAGATACCCGCTAACGAGTTTGTCAGATGGGTCGGCTGAGGAGTCGGAGGAACAAGCTCGGTAGACTGCAAAATGATACCGGAGTGATACAGGAGTGGAGGAGAGGGTGAACGGGGGTGCAGACTGTGGGGATGGGAGACTTTCCAGGGCATCCCCCGGAGAAGTGGGAATGGGTGTGCCTCTGGGGTGAGGGGTTGCTGTGACTGTGTGATGGGATGTTGTGGCCTTCTTCCACATCTCTCCCATAACTTCTGTCTCCCTTCTGTTGGGTCCATCCTCGTCACTCCCACTACCATTGCCACCAGTTCCAGAAGACTTCCTGCTCCTACCACTCCACTGTTTTCCCTTTGGGTGTGGCAACGATGCTGAGCAGATTGGGGGGGTGGGGAAGAGGGGTGAGTGGCCTTAAACACTTTCTCTTCCCAGGGTCCTGTCCTTTTGGGGGTCACCTGTAAGGAGTAGCCTTGAGTTTTCTCTTGTGTGGAAGTAGGTGGCGAAGGAAGCTCCCTGTGCCCTGCTCTGTGTCCTCCCTCCAGGAGGGACCCTGTAAGGGTGGTGCTGCCGGTGGTGTTGCTTGATGTTTGCCATCAGTTTCCTGGAGCCAGTAGGTCTGATTCCAATCAGGATGTCAGTCCTTGAACTCCGAGGGAGGAGGGTTCTGCTTTCTTCCCTTTTCCCTCCCTCCAGTAAAACCAAGGGCTTAAGAGTCTGAACTTTTACTCTGTAAACATTTATCAACCACGGTGTTTGCCACCGACCTGAGTTTTGGGTGGAGAGCAAACTACACTTTGTGCCCGCTGTCAGATGTTGCCTGTGGCTGAACAGCAGTCAATCCAGGAGCAAATAAAGATAGAAGGACGAGAGCAGTTAAGAGCTAATGCTCTTACTGCTGCTGGTTGCCTGTCACAGGAGAGCCATATATTATCTTTGAGGGAGAGTCCCTGTGGCCTTCCCAAGGTGGGCGGGGAGCAGAGTGCAGGAATAATGTGTTGTAGATACTTCCTAGGTAGAGGCCTGCAGGTACCTCCCCACAGGCAATGTGGAAGAGCACTGGAGTTTTCTCAAAGCACTGGCATCTGGGAGTCCTAAACAAAGCATTTTATGTCTTTTCCCCTAAGCAAGTGTGAGGTAGAGAGATGAGAGCCTGCAATCAGCAGGCAGCGATAAGGGACTCCTGGTTGGGCTACTGGTTGGGCCTGGTAAGTTTAAAAGCTATGTGGATCTGATAAGGGACTCCCAGGTCTCTAGGAGCTCTTTGGGTTCTTTGTTCACTCTGTAGTGACTGAAGGCCCCTGGGTGTGGCCCAAGGGATATGAAAAAGTACTTACTGGATCTGGTGACACAGGCTTGGAATCCCAAGTACTTAGGAGGTTGAGGCAGGAGGATCAAAAGTCCTGTTTGGACTACAGAGTAAGTTTAAGGGCAGCCTGGGCAGACCTTGTCTCAACTTGGGGAGGAGGGGGTATAACTCAGTGACAGAATGCCTGCCTAGCATGTGCTAGATTCAGTTCTTAATACCGTATAAAATAAAAAAAAAATCAGTATCCCCGGTATCTATGGCCTCACTGTCCAGTTTTAGGCTATCTGTGGTGAGTAAGAAGAACGGTGGGTCTGAAGACACAGCTCAGAGGGTAGAGTGCTTGCTTTGCAAAAGCAAAGCCCTGGGTTTGATCTCAGCATCACGTAAATGGGGTGTGGTGTAAAGTCACGCAGCTGGACCAGGAAGTCAAGGTCATTCTCAGAATTTCAGGCCAGCCACCATGTCCTAAAAAAGGTGAGCATTGTATAAGAAGGTATTTTGAGAGGCCACATTCACTTTTTATCACAGTGTAAGAATAACTGCTGTATTTCATTAGTTATTTTAAATCTCTGCCTAATTTATAACTTAAAGTTGATCCCAGGTATGGGTGTATGAGGAAAAGTCTATATGTTCTGCACAGTCTGCAGTTTCCAGCAAACCACTAGAGGTTTTGGAGCCACCCCTTTCAAATAAGGGAAGCCATGATGGGAAAGGTTCACAGAGATTTGTGTTCAGGGCTGTGCATGGACCACATCTTTTTATAAACGCAAAATACGGAAGTAAATTAATTACTCAATAATTGTGGCATGGTGTAAAACCTTCTGGCCACTTTCAGACTTTGGAAAGTAGTGTTTCTTTGTTAGTTTGGCATCTGTAACAAATACACCGTAGACTGGGTCCTTATAATGACAAATCTGTCACTGTTTCAGATGCCGGATGACTGATGCCAGGACTCAGGCAGGTTCTAGGGCAGATTCTCTTCCAGGCTACTGACTGCTGATTTCTTGTATCCTGTGTGACAGGGAGGAGGATCCAAGAGCTCTCTGGGTCCCCTTTAAAAGCACTGATCCTATTCATGCATATTTAATCTTTCAGCCCTGATAACCTTCCCAAGGCTGTGGGGGGGTGTTAGGATTTTGACATTTGACTTTTAGGCTACACCAAACATTCAGTCCATTGCGGTAGTTGTAAAGAATACGCTTACTACAAGTAGTGCTCGTTGATCAGATATGCTAAGATGTGGATGAAGACCATCTAAAGAGGAAAAAGGCTCATGTGTAAAAACCAGGATACAGAACTAGACTTCAGAGTGGATGAAGTTACAGATGAAAAAACTACCAGAACATTGAAAGACTGGTTGTTCTAGAAGGTGATATGGTGGGTGATTTTTGTTTACATCTTTGATTGTTATTTTTTATGTTTTCTAATATATATATGTTTATGATCAGAAAAGTTTTTAAAAATTTAAAGGTTTTCTTGGCAGCCCTTTTTAGTCTTCTAGAACAGTTCCCGGTGGCACCTGGACTACAGAGGGCAGGACCCCTCAACCTGTCAGCCTGCTGTCCAGCTGGTGCTTCCTGCCCAGCCCAGCCTTCCCTGAGGGCCACACGCTTTGTTATGAAGTGTATGGGCAGTCACAGGATGAGAACTGTCCCGTCAGGGCTTAGTAGCTGCCTCCAAGTCTGATGGTCCTCAAATGTCAGGCCAAGTTCTCTGCTGGGCTGTGGTGGAATTTTCAATAGTGTACAAACAAATTCCAAGAATAACGGCAGTGAAAGGATTTTTTTTTTTTAAATTAATTCAAATATTTCCAGTTAAAAACTTGCCTATGAGCTAAGTGGTAGGTAGCATATGCCTTTGATTCAAGTGTTCTGGAGGCAGAGGCAGGTGGATCTCTGAGTGAGTTCTAGGACAGCCAGGGCTACACAGAGAAACCCTGTCTCGAAAAACCAAAGTAAGTAAGTAAATAAATAAATCTTGCCTGAGGCTTTGGCAGTGACTTAGTGGCAGTATAGTTCTTAGAATGTGGGAGGCCCAGGGTTCACACCCCAGCAACACACACACATACACACACACACACACACACACACACACACACATACACGTACTTCTTTCATGTCTGTTATTTTATTTATTTATTTAAGAGACAAGATTTTTTGTAGCTTTGGAGCCTGCCCTGGAACTAGCTCTTATAGACTAGGCTGGCCTCGAACTCATAGCGATCCACCTGCCTCTGCTCCTGAGTGCTGGGGATTAAAGGCATGCACCACCACTGCCCTATTCATGTCTGTATTTTAGATGTGATGTTTTGTGTCTTTGAAACTGAACCCAGTGGTAGTATATTGATTTTTCACATCAAGAAGCCCAATCTTGATAAAAATTTATATAAAAATAGACAATGTATCTATTTACAAATTTTTTTTAAAGAGTCCATGAGCTCGAGACATTTGCTCTTTATTTTGTAGTGCTGGGAATTGAACCCTGAGCCCCATGCATGCTAGACAAAGCACTCTACCCATGAACTATACCCCCACCCCCCAGCCTTCAGCAGAACCAAGAGAAGAGCCAGGTCTGCTGAATTGTGAACTGCGTTCCTCCCAGTTCCCTTCTCCAGCTTGTTTGCGGTGCCCTTGCCCCTGTGGTGACTGGAGAGCTCAGAGCCCAGGAGACAGGGGGTGCAGGTTCAGAAGGCATATGTGCCCCGTGACCTCTCCTGCAGAGCTTTTGAGGTACACTCAGGCAGGTTGTCTTTTTCCCTGACACCCGTTGTATATTTAATAGGCCTTTGTGGGCTGGCCTGGGAACCTAATTGCCATTGATAATGCTCCTTGGAGCTTAGAGTGCACTGTTCCTACAGAAATAAACACATTACCAAGGAAGTCTTAAAACAGATGTGTGGGGTACTTAGGTGGAGCTATGGTTGAGTTCCACATGGATGCCAAGTGCTGACAGCTGGGGACTCAGCCAGGGGCACATAGTGGGCACCGAGTGACCAGAAAAGGCCCCAGGCAAGGGTTGTTCTCACAGGGAGGGTGGCTTCCAGGCTCTGTGGCTGTTAGGATCCTTGCCTGACTGATGTGTGGTGGGCGCATATCCCAGGCCCTGGCATATGGGTGACGGAGGAGCATTTGGTGGAAGGAGTAAATGCTGCAGACAGGGAAAGAAGCCTCCCAAGACTGAGATGTGAGCAAGACAGGAGAGGGGTCCAGCTGGTGGGAAGCGGAACCAAGAGTCTGGTG